AAGCTGGCACATGCCCTACTTTAATCAGACTGTTTTCCTCCTAAATTGGACTTGGAATATTTCTGACCAAGGAATTTATGAATTGCATTATGGCAGTGTTAACTGGGATCAGGGATCATCACTAAAGATTGATTAGTAATCAATCAATTAGACACAGAACAGAGTAGTATTGAGAGCACAACACTTGGAGTTGGACAGGAGAAAGTTTGAATCCCAGGACTATGGTATGTTGTAGAGCATCACTTACACTCTCAGTGTTAGTTTCTGCATATGTAGAGTTGGGCTGTTAATTACAAAGTTTGCCTCCTGAAGATGTGCTGCAAGTTAAAAAAAAAATCCAGCCTTCCTCTAACCGGCTTCCTGAGAGGGAATTAATTTTCTTAGTGTCCTGAAGCATTCCCTGTGGTGACTGATTGATTGTCTAGACTGGTACTGGCTATGTACCCTCATTGGGAAAGCTGAGGAAAATAGCACTCACGATGGAACTTTCATTTAAAACTCTTGTGGAACTCTGGTTGCAAAGGCCCATAGAAAGGCTGGTGGCAGATGCTAAACAGATGACACTTACGGCTGTCTACATGGCAAGCTCAAGTGTAAGAGCAGGTGAAAGAACCAGAAATCAACTCGAGTATGTGCTGTGTCCCTTCAGCGGCCCCACGGTGTGGCTGAGCATTAAATTCTTCATATGAATAAGGAAACTTGCTGACTTAAAGAGGAGGCATAAGATTGCTTAATTCAAAATATTTTGCAACTGTTGAGTAAGTGATTTAGGAATACATGTAACTCATACAAACGAATGGTGGTGTTAAAGAGTTGCAGGATTGGACAGTACTTAACCTTCAGATCCAAGAGGTACAAGTCAAAAATGCACAGCACAAAACATTTGCAGTTCGGCCCCATATGAGGAATAAATGCCCTGAGTTGAAAGGGGTCTTCTGTCATAGTTATATTGAAGTGGCTGTCAATTACACGGCACCGTGATTCCTAACAGATACTCAATTAAATGTGTTGAGTGATGATGGAGCATAGGGGATATTAGACACTCAGTTATTACTTCACCCTCCTCAAAAGTCCTCACAGATGAAATAAAACCAATGCTATGAAGATACAATAATAATACCAAGTGTAATTTCTGCTAACCTGATGCTTACTCATAAACTATGAAAAAGCCACCTTTAGTTCTGTCCTCTAAGTAGATTGCCAAATCAAGTCTTTTGTGAGTTGACCTGGAAACATAACCCCAGTCGTTGCTTCCATAGGTTGCTTTTCTGGTAGACATTCAAATTGTCTAACACTCACCCCAGTCTTTGGGATACAACCATTGAGAAGTCAGAAAGTCCCATCCTCAGACTTAAAGACAGGGTTTCCTGGCTAGCTTTTAAAAATGGTTCAGGCAACGAGGCTCAAAATGAAGCCATGAGGAGTGTGGGGTTAGGGGACATGCTCACTTTTTGTCCATGAGACCAAAGCAAGGGGCTGGCTCCTTCATCATTTAAAGAATCATGAACAGACATGGCTCAGAGATAGTAATCACTCTAATCACTCAGAAACACAGCAGAGGGGGCCTGCCCCTTAGCTCAGTTCTTTAAGTGGCTGCTTCAACAAAGCAGTCAGGCTCAGGTTGCTGTGGTTTGAACCCCACAACTCAAGCCAGTCAACCCTGCCCTGGAGGCATTAGGAGTAAAAAAAAGAAAGAAACACAGTAGAAAAGTAGAATTCTCTTTGTTCTTTGGCAGCTCTCTCTCAGTTTCTAGAATTAAATTTCTATTGATAAATGGGTCTGTTAATAAAAGAATCCAGTTAAGAAAAACCCACTTTTGGAAAAAAATTCTCAAAATTTCTACTAACATTGTGAAAATGCCTTTAAGTCATTTGAGTAAAATCAAATCAAGTCAATTCATGTAAAGGACATAAATATACGTATTACACATTTATTGATATATATATATGATGTATTTATATTTGCACAATATATATTTTATTATATGAATAGAATATATAAACATATAATTTATAACCATGTTAAATTTCCATACATTATGTACATTTAATTTTCCTATGGGGTGGAGTTTAGGTCTAGAATGTTCTCTAAAAGGCTCATATTTGTGAGGCAGGCAGGGTTTTGGAATGATTGACTCATGGGGTAGTGCCCTCATCAGTGGACTACTCTGATGAGTTCTGCTGATGGTGCTGTTAGGAGGTGGGGCCAGGTCCAAGCGGGGACCATGGGGTTGGGGGCTGCCAGGATCATCTCCTCCCTGCGCCTCCCTTCGCTCTCTGCTTCGTAGCTGGCTGTACCTTTCCTGTCTCCCTGTCCGGCCATCTATCCTGTTCCTGCCTTGGGAACAGAGCAGGTCTGGAGCACTGAACTAAAACAAGCCTCCTCTCCTCTGAGTAGTGGGTGGTGGGTGTTTTGTCCTGGTGACCGCAAGGTAACTAAGACACTATGGCATACCATCTCCAATCCTTTTTTTTCTTTATCTGTTAGAATTAAAATCATCCTATATAGATTCATCTACTAAACCCCAGGTGTGTCTATTAAGGAGCATCTACATTTCTCATCCATGCAAGCCATTCCTAATTTGCCACATGTTAGAAAATAAAGTGACAGTGCAAGTGTGACCATGTAGGAAAACCCTTCTATTTTATGCAGGAAGAGGACAATGGCCAGGTATTTCAAGGGTGCAGGATGACAGCAATACACTGGCCTGTAGTGCACTGCTCTCTCTCTCTCTCTCTCTCTCTCTCTCTCTCTCTCTCTCTCTCTCTCTCTCCCTCCCTCTCTCACACACACACAAAACACACACCTGCACATAACATACTGCTCACATTCTTTTCAAAAGCACATAAACACATGTGGTTTCAATTGAAGGGGGGCTTCCAAGTAAAACACAGATGATGGTAGTAATAGGACTTCTTTATGGGAACAGTTACGCCACCAACAACTTATACCCCTTGATTTGCAGAGAGTAGAGCTACCAGGGGATCCTGAGCCTGAATTCAGTTTCCTGAGGTGACCCTCCCATATAGTGGCTGGGTTTCTAAGGTGACAACAGTGCTGAATTGAAGTTGTTAATGGGTCTTCTTCATTTCTAACTTTTGACAAATTTTGAGAAAAAGCAGAGTGTGATAGTAAAAGTAGAAAAAGAAAACAGCATGTCATCAGCCTTGGCTAATCTCCCACAGGGCACCCGCTGCCACATGCATTCCTGTAAATGGTTATTTGCATCCTGCCACTCCCTGATTCAGACCCTGAGGAGATACTCACTTAACTGTGCATTCATTTTCATCCAAATATTTTAACCTGGCATTTTTGGTTCTTGGCAGTCTGTTATCACCTTAGAACTCCTTTGTGCCAAGATAACTGCTGGCCTGTCAGGCAATGCACTCTCCAAGCTTTCTCCGACCCCACACTTCCCCTCAGCCAGGTTGTGTACTCCTTTCTTCTCTGCTCCTTGCCCCCCACCCACACATCCTCGCTGCAGCTGGACCAGGTGAAGGAGGAGAATGCACTGGCTCTGAGCTGCCTCCAGGCCCACATCTCAGGGTATGCTTCTTCTTCAGGTGCCACACCCCTCCACAAGGATGACACTCCACCCTGCTGTCAAGGGCAGCATTCAGCCCCTTCCTCAAGGAAGGATTGGCCTAGATCCAATCCACCTGCAGTCAGGTTCAGTCCCTTTCAGCCTCTCTGCCTCTCTAAGGACACAGCCAAAGGAAAGCTCATTTAGATGCTACCATTTTTGCCACCTTAGAAGAAAGTTCTGTTCTTCCTCACAGATAGCGTCCCTCTCCAGCAGGGAAGGTAGGATTGAAGTCAAGGTGCCCAGTAGAAGCCTTGCTCCGAAAGCTACCCTGCCCATTGCTGCCACACTCCAGCTAGGACTGGGAAATCTTTCTGGTGTCTGTTCCCTCCCTACATTCCAGGTAGCCACAGAAGCAGAGGGCACCACTGAGGCACAGCAATCTTCCCACCCAGATGCCTTCTTTCCCCTTTATACCTGGAAGGAAGCAGCCTCCCTGCAGTCATGCTGAGCGCGCCAGGGGCCTGGGAGCTGGAGTGAGTGCCTGCTACCTGCTTTTGCCACCAAGCCCTGCTCTTCACCCCAGGGTCACACCCAGGGGTCCTTAACCTAACCACCAGTTTTAACCTAGCAGGGGAGGAAATGCTGCCCTCTCAGTGTCTGTCTTCTTCAAACAGGAGGCAACAGATTCCAAGTTGCACGTGTACCAGCCACAGGTCCTCCATAAACAGGTCATCTCCCAGCCCTGCTTTCCTGTCAGCTACTGGAGCAAGGTCTCAGAAGTTGAGTCTGCCTCCCCAGTTGCCCTAATGTCCAGGAAAAACGAGGAAGCTGTTTCACTGCAGCAGTGCCAGCCTCTCCGAGAGCGGCCCCTGTGCGCGTGCCTAGGCCCCTAGGACCTAAGCAGGGCCAGCAGCGCTCCACCTCTGCTAGGCGGAGTCTGCAGCCAGCTCTCTCCTCCCCCCGCCTGCAGGACTGTCCCCTTTCGGTCCCCCAGGTCTCCCTGGCCCCCGAGGGGCTGAATGCACCCCCAAACAGGTGCATAGACACCCCACCCCACCCCGCCAGCCCCTGTCTGCTCTCCCGTTCCGTCCTTGTCCCGTTCTCCCCCGGTCCTGTCCGACCCCGCTCACCCAGGCCCAGGAGCAGCAACAGCTGTGGTGGCAGTGTGGTCTCCTCTCTGCGGCGCAGGGCAGGGCTGGAGGTCACCGACCCTGTCCCTGTCCTAATCCCTGTCCCCATTCCTGTCCCCGTTCCCGTCCCAGGTCCTGCTCCTGCTCGAGATCCCGGTCGCGCTATGCAGACCGCAGCGGGCAGGAGTTTGTGCGGCCGGCCGGAGCTCTAGGGCAAGGGCGCCCCCTACTTATATCCTGCCCGCGGCGCCGCACCCCACGCCCCGCTCGGGTGGCACCTGTGTTCCCCGCCCGGCACAGAGGGGTGGGACCCAAATTCAAGCCAGGAGGACAGGAGGGGAGGGGCAACGGGGAGCCAGAGCGGGCCAGGCCGGGAGACACCTGAGTGTGCAGTCCCTGTGCCAACCCTCAACTGTCACAGCCGTAGGTGCGGGGCAGGAGGACCCACGGGTCGCCCTCATCTTCACAGGGCTAAATTGGTGTCTTGTTAGCAGTGCTCATGGCCTGATTCAGACGAATTCATCTGGGACTGCAGCTTACCAAGATGACTTTAGAAATTTTATTTACAGTGTTCTTATCATTTACTCATTTATTCCCTATATTTATATGTATTTATTTTATTTCACTTCTTCTATAGTTAGATCTATACCGATAAGCAAGGTTTCGCCTGTTCCCCGCCAAGGGCTGTGCCCACCACGGTGCTGAGCTGGTGGGGTCGGGGGTGTTGTGCTGATGTGGGGTTGGGAAAGGTGGAATTTAGTGTTGGTGGGGCAGCTCCTTCACCAGACCCACAGTGCTCAAGCACGGACATCTGTACCCAGCTGGACCTCATATTTTTAATATATCTGCCTTCCAGGTAACCAAAGGTGCAGGTGCTTGGAGCTGCTCTCTGTCTGCCTTGTAAGAGCAATACCAGAGTGAACACCTCTTCCGAGGCATCCGTGGTTCAAAGAGTCCGGTAAACATTATTCGAGGCATGAAATGCAGTTTGGGTGTCTGAGCTTTCCTCCCACCCCACTGTCGCAATGAAGCAAATTTATCACACACCTTGCTTACACAAATGACATTTCATTTCAAAACAAGTGCAAATATTCTAGAGCCCTGGGCAACAGATCCACAGCTTTTAATTCTCTAAACTCCATTCTAGCCCCCAAACAGCAGCTTACAGAGCACCATCACAGAGCAAAACAAGAGTGAAGAGAACCCCAAAGTTGGAGTAGAAGGTCATAGTATCCCAGACAAGAGGGGCAAAGCTAGAAATCCCAGGAGTTCAGAATCATTTCTCACTCCCTGGACACTCCCCCCTCTTGGTATCTTGGCCTCCGTTAAGGCCACTCTCATCCCAAGAGAGCACGCCAAGCAGCAGCTATCCTGTGGTCCCCAACAAAGTGTTCCAGTCCTACTTCCTTTTCCACCAAAATGAGAAAACAAAGCACTCTTAAACCAAAAGGAATGCATGTTTGATGAGTATTGTGCACTGCCAGGACTTGAGGTAAGTGTTCCCATTCAAATGGCAAATTAACTTTTTCATGCCATTGGAGTATGAAATAGTGTAGTTTAATACACTAAAAAGACCAGATAATTAATAACCTTCCCTGAGGGCTTTGATTCCAGCCAGAAATAAAGTGCATGCTCTCAGGAACGTGCCCTCTGCATTTTCTGACACCAGAGATCCAGTCTCTTCAAAATCAAGAAACTTTTCTTTCTTTCTCTTTCTCCACCTTCTTTCCTCTCTCCTACTGTTTTCCTCTCCCTTTCCCCAACCCTCTCCCTCCCCCTTCTCCATCTCTTTGTCTTTCTCTGTCCCTCTCTCTGTCTGTGTCTCTGTCTCTGTCCCTCTCTCTGTGTCTGTGTCTCTGTCTCTCTCTGTGTCTTTCTGCCTCTGCCTCTGTCTCTGTCTGTCTCTCTCTCTCTCTCTCTCTCTCTCTCTCTCTCTCTCTCTCTCTCTCTCTCTCTCCCCCTCCCACCCTTCCTTATGAAGGAAAATAAATCTAGACTCTAAACACTAAGGCTAGAAAGGTTGAGGATAAAAAGTGATCTTCCAGACTCCTCATCCCTGTCACTAAGCTGTGTCTCCATCCTTTAGACATAAACTATGCTGTCACTAAGAGAAGAGCATATCAAAGACATCCAGACATCTCAGAGTTCCAGGACAGAACTGGTATCCCCGCATCCCTAAGCAGATGGCTTGAATGGTATCCACCTAGAGCCCAGACCTGGCAGGTATAACCAGCCCTCCCATACCTGGTATGAGCCTCAAGCAGATTCCACGGTGGCCTGGAAGCATCAGCCTTCTCCTCCCACCCAGAGCAGGCTGTAGCAGGCACGTTCCTCCCCCTCCTCTGAAGAGGACAAAATAAGCTCATTATTTGTGGAACACATCAACATACACATGTGTGGAGATGGGAGGGAAAATTTGGAACACATTCATTCTAGGTCAACATAGTCACCAAATGATTGCTATGAGCCAGAGATCTAGTAGTGTTAGAGACGTCCTACTGAAAGAGATGCCCACGGAAATTACTTAGTTCAGTAAGAATGTGTGAATGAGAATAGTGAAAGATTTTGAAAGGGCAACACTATACAATAATACTGAACATAATACCTTATATATCATTAAAATTAATAATATATGGGCTAGGGAGATAATTTGGTGGTCTATGTGCCTGCCTGTGTTTTATCCCCGGTACCATACCACATGCCATGCTACCATGCCAGCCACTGAAACTGGGCGTGGTGATGCATGCCTGTAAGCCCAGCACTGGGGAGGCTGAGACAAGTCTGAGCTGCATAGTGAAAGCTTGTACCAAACAAACAAATCAATAAATAAATAAATAAATATTTTTAAAAAATTAATAGTATGGTATAGAGACTGAACTTTTAAATATTTTATTTGAAACTATTAAATCAGTCTGTAAAGAAATACCAGTGATAAAATCACCACTCACTGAATTCTGTTTTAAACTCTAACTGAGAGAAAGGAGTTACTATTATTTTTGCATTTTCCTGCCTGCTTTGTGGTACCTTCATTGTTAGCCTTTTTAGGAGCCTTGGTTTTATATGCACACCCCAATTTGTTTGACTTGCTATCTTTTTAAAATGCCAGCTCACAAGTTAAGCCAATCTCAGATGGAATCCTCTTTGCAACTGGAATTATTTGGAGTCATATTCAAATACACTTCAATGAGAAACTGCTGGTCTAAAACAAGTGTGGACTTTTCTGCACGCCCAGGTTCTAGGTAACTTGAGCACATCCCTGACTGGTGTGATCTTAGTGCTGTCATGTGCAAGACCCCTAAGTGTCCTTCCTAGAGACCCCAGCAACAGCGTCTCCTCCCTCCTTCCCGGTCCCAAGGGAGTCCCCCAGTGTAGATTCCCTTTTCACAGGATGAAGAGGTAGAAGACCATGTAAATAGGTCTAGGAGTCTGTTTGATGCATACAGGTGAGAGCGGTCACTAATTGGCCCAATTGCGACCACCTCCCCCAGGCTCCTGTCCTCTGTCATATATGATGGCAGTGACTTGCACAGACTTTGTGATCCACAAAGATATATATCTCCAAGATGAAAATTTTCTGAATTAAAGTTACTCAATGAATGATAGTTGTTATGTTATTAAATTTTACAGAGTACATAGACAAAATCAGGAGGGATTGGTTTTCTTACTAACCCTGTTATTCCTAAGTAAGAGGGAGAGGATCCAGCATGGAGTAAGACTGTGGTGGGAAATCAGCATGGACTTGAAATCCCACAGCCTGGGGCACCTCTGTGCCTCATCCCAATCCCTTAGGCTCCTCTGACCTTCTCCATCTCCACCACTTCTGTTCCTCTCCCTTGCTCAACACTCTAGAGACCAAGACAGCATGTTACCTAGACAAGGTTAATGTATTGAGTAGTGTCTTTGTCCATTTTCTACTGCTGCCACTGAATGCTATGGCCTAGATGGCTGATAGAGAATAGAGCTCTTGATTCTGCAGGCTGAACAGTCCAAGGAATAGGATCCCTGTATCCAGAGAGGCCCCCTTCCTGCACTGTCATAAGGTGTAAGGTGTCACACCAGGCCAGTGAGCCAGTCCAGGTTCTCTGTCTTTTCTTATAATGCTACAAATGCCATTATGATGCCCATGCTTGTGACCACATCTGGTCCTAACCACCTCCCAAAGCTCCACCTCCAAACACTATGACACATTCATTTGGAGATTAACTTTCCAATACATGGGCTTTCCTCAGAGCCATTCAAACAATGGCATCCCTTCCCTGACCAGCCAATGCATGCCCCTCTCTCATGAGAAGCACACCCTGTCTGTATCTATAGTCCCAAATGCTTCACGTCCATCATTAGCCCCAATCCCCCAAGCCCAGTCTCATTTAAACGGGACATTGTGCCTGCAGCTCGGGTCTCCATGCTCACTGCACCCCCTGAAACAGGGGAAGCCCTTTATTTCAGTGACAGGAAAGGTATTTATTTCCAAGCCAGCTCTGAGGAAATGCAGGGGTTCAGAGTGCCTGGAATCATTACCTACCCATATTCATGGGTGCAAGGAAAAGAGGAGAAACACAATACAAGGAGACAACACAATAGAGCTTACAGACCCACACTTCTGTGACCCCTCCCCATTCCTCTGACCCCAGACAGGAAGACCTCAAAGCAGAGGAAAGTGGCCTAACCCACCCAAGCTACAAAATAAGTTTGCAGGTTTGCTGACTACTACAGCAGAAAAATAATTTTCAAGACACATCTGTAAGCGTCATAGGAAGCATTTTAGTAAACAAAAATAAAAAAGTATGCACTCAAAGAAAAAAATGCGAGGAAAATTTGTGGTTCTGTTTAGGGGGCAAAAACCAAGGAAAATATTCCCCTTCCCCAGAAGGACACTGGCCCAAAGGATAAGCCCACTTGTTTTCTAAGATGAATACATTAAGCATTCTTTGATTTCTCTCAACCTGGTGCTCCTTTGCTGTAAGATCAGGTTCCTTCTCTCAGGATCAAGCCAAGCTCTGGACGGTCAGTATTCCTGAGGAACTTCCGGTGTGATGGGCCTGGAAGGGGAGTAGCCTAAATGTAACCAAGGAAACACAGATACGGACTCCATGGGTGGCTAAGATCTTGACCTAGAAGTTGTAATGTTCTTACAAAAACAATTTTAGTACTGATTTTCCTTATCTCATTTCTACTTTTATT